CTTAATGGTATCAAAAACCTTCTGATACTCTTTAGTCCAAAGGGGTGGGGAACGTGCAGCCTTGGGGCCACATGTGGGCTTCTGGATTCTTGAGTGCCTTTAGACTGAATCCAGATTTTACAGAACAAATCCTTTATTTTTTGAGACTGTCTCGCTCTGTTGCTGGGGCTAGAGTGCAGTGACGTCATTCATAGCTCACTGCAGCCTAAAACTTCTGGACTCAAGTGATCCTCTTGTCTGAGCCTCCCGAGTAGCTGGGACTACAGGTGTGAGCCACCATGCTCAGCTAATATTTCTATGTTTAGTAGAGACAGGGTCTCACTCTTGCTCAGGCTGCTTTCAAACTTCTGAGCTCTGGCCTCTGCCTCCCAGAGTTCTAGGATTACAGGCGTGAGCCACCACGCTAGGTGGGTGGGGGTGATTATTATTCTTTCAGTTGAATAAGTCTGAAGTTGAAAATGGGTTATGTAAATAAAGAAAACCACTTGGTAGATCCTGGGCAGTTAGCCTTACTACCGCATATTGGCATATTGGTAACTGCCCTGCTCCAGGAGCGCAGGGGAATCCCCTGCCAAATTGGGTTCCTTGCTGGGTTGGAGATGGGCAACACCAAACCAGGTCTTGGGGTCCCATATGTCCTTTGGGAGAGTGCATCCCTTTGAGCCTCGTGTGGATAAATTCCCCGGGTCTGGGGCATATCCAGTTCCTCCAGCCACTCGAGCATCAGGCGCTTGGAACACAAAAGACACCACTCGAATTCAGCATTAACTTGTAACCATAGGCCACTAGTCACACAAACACAACAAAAAAAACAAGCCAGGCGCTGTGCTCAAATGGCCGTAATCTCCAGCACTCTGGGCAGGCAAAGGTGGTGCGAATTCATTTGGAGTTTCAGGAGTCAACACACCTGCCCTGAGCGAGAGCACTCCTCTAAAAAGGAAGACATCTAGCGTGACACCAAGAAATCATATAAAAAAAAAAATGTAGGCCGGGCATGGTGGTGCATGCCTGTAGTCCCAGCTACTCGGAGCTGAGGCAGAAGGATCGCTTGAGCCAGGAGTTTGAGGTTGCTGTGAGCTAGGCTGACACCATGGCACTGATAGCCAGGGGGCACACAAGATGCAGATTCTATCCTCAAAAAATAAATAAATAAATAATAAAAACATTTCACAGCCATTATTCCTCTGACATATTGTGGCCCAACTGTGTTACCATAAGAAAAATCTCCTTAATCATAAGAAGAACCATCTTCAGTTAACATGAACTTTAGTCCCATTTTTATGTTAAGGGAAGGGGAGGTTGCAAGTTGTAACCAAGGACTACATACATCTAGGTGTCAGCAACGTTGGGAGGAAGTTTTAAAAATTCTTGTTCCGGCTGGGCGTGGTGGCTCACGCCTGTAGTCCTAGCTCTCTGGGAGGCCGAGGCGGGCGGATTGCTCGAGTTCAGGAGTTCGAAACCAGCCTGAGCAAGAGCGAGACCCCGTCTCTACTATAAATGGAAAGAAATTAATTGGCCAACTAAAAATATATACAAAAAATTAGCCGGGCATGGTGGCGCATGCCTGTAGTCCACAGCTACTCGGGAGGCCTGAGGCAGCGAGGATCGCTTGAGCCCAGGAGTGTGAGTTTGCTGTGAGCTAGGCTGACGCCCGGCACTCCTCTAGCCTGGCAACAAAGCAAACTCTGTCTCAAAAAAAAAAAAAAAAATTCTTGTTCCTTTAACTCTATACAGTAAGCCTAAAAGAAAAAAAAAAAATTCTTGTTCTTGGTCAGTTAACTTTGGAGGACATAGGTCAAGTCACATTGTTCCTCTAAATCTTTAGCATAGCATTGTTATTTATGTGCATACTTTCCTTACTTCCCTGGGAGTTAATTTTGGGAAAGATACAATTATGTTTCTTCTACAGTTGAACTACAAACTAGATTCTTCCTATAATTAGCTGGTCTATGTGCAGAGCTGAGCAGAAGCATTTTAATCTGAAGGATATTACTGCAGGGGGTCAAAAGCAAAATGGGACTAGTCATGTTAAGCCTCCCTTCCACTGTTATAGCTGTTCCAGAGTTATTTTAAGAACTGTTTTAAGAACAAAAGGACACATTTTAACAAAAGATACTCCTATTGCTCTTGTCACTTAGGAAATTATAAGGGTTTTAGGAGATGTGACCCAGGAGCTGGATAAAACACAAAATCTATATTTCAGAATATCACAACCTTCTTTTCCAGTAAACTGGGATGGTACTCAAAATGATACCCTATTTCTGCAGTTTGCTTCAATTATAACTTGGATATTTGTGCTCTAAATAGCCATAGTTCCTGGCAGAGTGTTAACTGGGAAATCACTTGGGATTTGGAGAGAAAAACCCATGATAGGCTGCGTAGTGAAGGTAACTATTACTATTCTCCAAACTGGGAAGAACTCCCGTGGTTTTCTGATTTACAATTTGTGTCATTCCGTTTCTAGTAGCACCAAAATTGCAATGTCTAATACATAAGGCAATTTATTTTTATTTATTTGTTGATTGATTGATTGAGACAGAGTCTCACTCTGTTGCCTGGGCTAGAGTGCTGTGGCATCAGCCTAGTCACAGCAACCTCAAACTCCTGGGTTCAAGCGATCTCTCTGCCTCAGCCTCCTGAGTAGCTGGGACTACAGGCATGCACCACCATGCCTGGCTAATATTTTCTATGTATTTTTAGTTAGCCAATTTCTTTCTTCTTTTTTTTTTTTAGTAGAGACAGGGTCTCGCTCTTGCTCAGGTTGGTCTTGAACTCCTAACCTTGAGCGGTCTCCCGCCTCAGCTTCAAGGTGAGTGCTAGGATTACAGGCATGAGCCACTGCGCCCGGCCCATAAGGCAATTTAGACGTAGAGATCAATGGCATAGAATTGAAATTGCAGAAATAAACCCATACATATATAGTCAATTGATTTTTAAAAACAGTGCCAAGAATAGAGAAATAATATTATTTTTCACAAATTGGTCCTGTGACAACTGGATAGCGACATAAAAAAATAAGGTTATGTCAAGCGCAGTGGCTCACGCCTGTAATCCTAGCACTCTGGGAGGCTGAGGTGGGCAGATTGCTCAAGGTCAGGAGTTCAAAACCAGCCTGAGCAAGAGCAAGACCCCATCTCTCCTAAAAATAGAAAGAAAATTAATATATTTAATTTAAACTAAATATATTAACAAAAATATATACCCAAACAACTAAAATATATAGACAAAATTAGCTGGGCACGGTGGCCCATGCCTGTAGTCCCTAGCTACTTGGGAGGCTGAGGCAGAAGGATTGCTTGAGCCAGGAGTTTGAGGTTGCTGTGAGCTAGGCTGATGCACGGCACTCTAGCCCGGCAATAGAGTGAGATTCTGTCTCAAAAAAAAAAAAATAAGGTTTAATTCCAACCCCACATATCATAATTTACCAAAAGAGCTCAAAGACCAAAATGTAAGAGGTAAGACTATAACATGTTTAGAAAAAAACATAGGGGAAAATATTTATGCCTTTGTCTTTGGCAAAGAATTCTTGGCAGGCCATGGTGGTTCATGCCTGTAATCCCAGCACTTTGGGAGGCTGGGGCAGGAGGATCACTTGAGGCCAGGAGTTTAAGAACATCTTGGACAAGAGTGACACATCATCTCTACTAAAAACAGAAAAACTTATCTGGGCATGGTGGTGCATGCCTGTAGTCCCAGCTACTTAGGGGGCTGAGGCAGGAGGATCACTTGAGCCCAGGAGTTTGAGGTTGCAGTGAGCTATGGTGATGCCACTGCACTCTAGCCCAGGCAACAGAGTGACCCTGTCTCAGGAAAAAAAAATTTTTTTACATATAACACCAATAGGAAATTCAGCAAAACAAAAATAGATTATTTGGTCTTCATCAACATTAATAACTTTTGTATTTCAAGGGACACCTTGAAGTAAGTGAAAGCACAAATTGATTTGAAGCAAGACTTGGCAGTGAAAAAAAGAACTAAAAAATATATATAAAGAAGAAGAAAAAAAAAAGCAAGCACAAATTGAGATCCTTGTGCACTGTTGGTAGGAATGAGAAATGATGCAGCCACTAGGGAAAAGAGTATGGCAGCTTCTCAAAACCTTAAAAATAAAGTAACTGTATGATCCATGTGAACTAAAATAAAATTTTAAGCTTACCCCCCATTGGCTGACTAAATCGACCCCCTCATGGCCAAAGGAATATCCTAAAAGTAAATTGCCTACCAGGAGGAGGGAGGTCAGACATGCCTTATCATGCCCCTCTCCCTTCTTGGGGACATCCCTGGTAACCCATTAACAGGCCTAAGGGTATGCAAGACAAACCTAGTGGTCCTCAGTTTACACAACAAATATATGTCTGGTGGCTTATCCCTGATAAGCAGCTCTTTCTGTTAAAATACTCCAAGCCTTTAGACAAAGTTTCACATCTTTAACAAATTACAAGCCAAAGAATCTTTAAACCCATCTATAACCTGTAAGCCCCCACTTCGAGATGGCCCACCTTTTCGGGCCAAAGCAATGTATGCCTCCCATGTATTGATTTATGACTTTACCTGTAACCCCTGTCTCCCTGAAATATATAAAACCAAACTGTAACCCAACCACAGCACGTCTACTTGCTCAAGGCTTGTTGGATGTGACTCCGGGTCATAGTCCTAAAATTTGGCTCAAAGTAAATCTCTTTAAAATTACTTTACAGGGGCTGGGCACAGTGGCTGTAATCCTAGCACTCTGGGAGGCCGAGGTGGGCGAATTGTTTGAGCTCAAGAGTTTGAGACCAGCTGGAGCAAGAGTGAGATCCTCGTCTCTACCAAAAATAGAAAAAATTAGCCAGGCATGGTGGCACATGCCTGTAGTCCCAGTTACTCAGGACATTGTGGCAGGAGGATTGCTTGAGCCCAGGAGTTTGAGGTTGCTGTGACCTAGGCTGATGCCCTGGCACTCTAGCCCAGGCAACAGAGTGAGACTCTGTCTCAAAAAAAAAAAAAAAAAAAAAAAAAAGAATTACTTTACAGAGTTTGGCTTTTTTTCCCCTGTTGATATCCAGCCCGACATCCACTTCTGAGTATACCCAAAAGAATTGAAAGCAGTAACTCAAACAGATATTTGTTCACTCTGGTTCTTATCGGCATAATTCACAGTAGCCAAAAGTTGAAGGCAACCCAAGTGTCTATGAAAGGGTGAACAGACCAACCACACGTGGTACATACATGCAACGGAATAGTATTCGGCTTTAAAAAAAGTAAATTCTGACATATGCAGAGGACATTGTGCTAAGTGAAATAAGCCAGTCATAAAAGGACAAATGCTATATGATTCCACGTATGTGAGGCACCTACAATCAAAGGATGGTGTCAGAGTGGGGAGAAGGGAACGGGGACTTATAGAGCTTTAAATTTGCATGATGAACGCAGTTATAGAGACTGGTTTCACAAGGCGAATGTACTTAACACTGCTGAATAGACACTCTTAAAAATAAACCTGGCGCACAGAACAAATTCTCCTTAAATGCAAATACCCGCGGAAGGAAAAGCCCTAGCCGAAGCCGTCTGGCTGAACCACGTGTCCCCCTGCTCGGCTGTCACTCAGGGACGAAGGGGCGGGACCGCGCCAGCTGTCCAATCAGTGCCGGCCTCGGAAAGGCGCGTGGGGTCACGCTCCGCTCGCGCGTGCGGACGTGGCGCGTCCTGTCAGCTCGCGCCGCCGCGTCCCACCTGCCTTTCGGGACTCTCGGTGGCGGCCGTGGCGCAGCCTTTGTCGCGCTGTGACTTGCAGGTACCGAGACATCCCGAGGGAGGACTTCGGGACGCGGCGGAAGCCGGTGAAATATGGTGAGTGTGCGGGGCCGGGCGTCCCCAGGCGGGGAGGAGGGGGTGATTGGAACCGGCTGGAACCGGCTGTGGCGGGAACCCGTCCTCCCCGCGGTCCGCTCGGGAGTCTGCGGACCCGAGTCGCCGCGGGGCGCAACGCGGCCCTCGGTGCTGCCGCCCGCGGGGTGGGGCCGGGCCGGCAGCCGGGCGCCGGGCGTCCGTCGGGTCCCTGCGCGGCGACCCCGGCCCGGCGCCCCGTCCGGGCGGCCCCGGGCTGTGCGGTGACGGCGGGAGGGTCCCGCCTCGGCGTGTGGCGGCGGCCGCGCCTGTGAGAACTCGCGTGTGTCGTAACCTTGAGGCGGATGCACGGAGTTCCCTGACTTGGGAGAGCTGCAGCCCCGGGGGAGGGAGCATTTCTCCGCCGCCCGGGGACAGGAGGTCGCTCGGAGCTCGCACGCTGCCCAGACGCCCCGGCCCCGGTCACCAGGGACTGGCCCACTCCGGGGGCCTCTGCTCTCAAGCCGGCCAAAGTGTGTGACCTTCTGAATACGGGGTTTATTTATTTATTTATTTGAGACAGGGTTTCACCCTGTGGCCCGGGCTAGAGCGCAGTGGTGTCTTCATAGCTCACTGCAGCCTCGAACTCGGGGGCTCAAGGAATCCTCCTGCCGCAGCCTCTGTAGCAGCTGGGACTACAGGCGCACGCCATCATGCCAGGCTCATTTTTTTTTTTTTTCTATATATATGTATTAGTTGGTTTTTTTTTTTTTTCTATTTTTACTAGAGATGGGGGTATCTCTCTTGCTCAGGTTGGTCTTGAAATTCTGACCTCATGCGATTCTCCCGCCTCTGCTTCCCAGAGTGCTAGGATTACAGGCGTGAGCCACCGCACCATTTTGGTAATCCTTTTTTTTTTTTTTGAGACCTCTGTCGTGGGCTAGAGGGCACTGGCACTGGTGTATTCATAGCTCACTGCAACATTACTCTCCTGGGCTCCAGCCATCCTCTGCCTCAACCTCATGCTACCATGCCAAGCTCATTTTTGTATTTTTTGTAGAGATTAGGTCTTGCTATGTTGCTCAGCTTGGTCTCCAACTACCTCCAATTTGGCCTCAAGTGATCCTCCCATCTGGGCCTCCCAAAGTGCCCTGATTATAGGCAGGAGCCACCACGCCAGGCCTGCACCGAGTGGTCTTGTTCCCTTGTTTGAATATAGGATTTTTAGTTTCACAGGGGAAAATGTGAGTTGATAGTGAGGTAAGATGTCCATAAAACAAGAATATTCTGGAACAAACAGAATTTCTGTTCTTTTTAGGAAAGAGAACCTAAAGATGTGAAATCGGGGTATTTAAATTCTCATATATATATACATATATATCTTGGAAAAGATATATATATATATATATGCGCCTGGGTTTGGGTTGTTGGAAATTTATGCTGCTTGGTATTCTCTGAGATTCCTGGATATGTGCTTTGATTTCTATCATGGGGGAAATTCTCAGTCATTCTTCTTTAGTTATTCCCATTATGTGTGTTACAGCTTTTGCATTTTTTTCACAGTTCTTAAATATTGTGTTTTGTCGTTTTTGTTCTTTTTTTCCCTTTGCATTTTTCTGTTTTAGAAGATTATATTGACATTTCCTCAAGATTGCTGATTGTTTCTTCAGATACTTTTACTGTATTGATACATCCTTAAGTGCATGCTTCATTTCTGTTGCAGTGTATTTTATTTCTTGCATTACCTTTTGATTCTTTGTTAGAATTATTATGTCTCTGGTTAAATTACCTATTAGTTCATGCATATTGTTCACTCTTTCTTAGCATAGTAATCAGGCTTCATTTAAATTTCTAGTCTGATTCCAGCATCTCTTTTATATCTGAATCTGATTATGGTGCTTGCATTTGCTTTTCAAACAGTTTTTTAAGTCTTTTAGTATGTCTTGTGATTTTTTTGTTAAAATCTGGACATGGTATACTGGAGAAAAGGAACTGAAGTAAATAGGCCTTTAAGTTTTAGATTTATCTTGCTGGTTTTAAGCTGTTTATTTTTGGTAGATAGGTGTCAGAGGATAAAATTTCCTTGGTTTTATCTTTTCTATAATTTTGGGAATACTCTAGGGACTTCAAGTTTGAAATGTACAGAAACAAACAGTAGACAATTCTTTCATTGTAACTGTTTGTTTTTTTTTTTTAAGAGACAGGATCTTGCTCTGTTGCCCAGGCTGGAGTGACGTGGCATCCTCATTGCTCACTGCAATCTCAAACTCCTGGGCTCAAGTGATCCTCCCACCTCAGCCTACCAAGTAGCTGGGACTACAGGCACATACCACCATGGCCAACTAATTTTTAAATTTTTTTTTGTAGAGCCAGGGTCTTGATATGTTGCTCAGGCTGGTCTCAAACTCCTGGCTTCAATGGATCCTCCCACCTCAGCCTCCCCGGGTGCTGGCATTACAGGCATGAGCCACCACACCTGGCTATATCCAACTATTTTTAATCAGAAGCTCTAATGACCCACTGTTAAGCTGTGGGTGGAGGGGAAAAATGCTATGATCTTATAATTATGTCTTAGCTTTTTGGTGAGCTGTACCCCTGAACTGTGGTTTGATAAGGAAGACATTTGGTTTTTATGTGTGGTTCCTAGCAAAGAGCTCCTAAATCCCCTGGACTTTCATATGTGGTAAGGGTGATAGGATCTACATTTGTTGTAAAGAAGTAACTCCAAAATTCAGGGTGGGAATTGATGACCAGAAAGGTAGCCTGCCTTGAACTTTTGGCCATACCCCCAACTTTACTGGAGGGAAAAGGGGCTGGAGATTGAGCTAATCACAGATACTCAATGATTTAGTCAATCTTATCTACTTAATAAGACTTCCATGTAAGCCCATAAATATCGGGGTTCAGAGAACTTTCAGGTTGGTGATTGCATTGAGGTGCTAATAGGTTGGCAAACCCCGGGAATGCATGGGTATGCATGCATTAGCTCATACTTTGACCTATGCACCTTTTCTATGTGGCTGTTCTTGAGTTAAATTCTTTGTACTAAAATGGTAATATTAAGTTATAGGCTCTCCTGTGTTCTGAGAGATGTTCTAATGGATTATTAAACTACAAGGGGTATTGTGTGAATCCCCTTAATTCTATTTAGCTCAATAGAAGTATGACTAGGCTGGGCTGGTGTCCAGCATGTGGGCAGTCTTGTGGGACTGAGCCCTTAATCTGTGGATTCTGACACTAATACCTGGTATTTACTATTAGAATTCAATTGAATTTTAGAACATGTAGTTGGTGTCAGAGAGTTGGAGAAGTGGTTTTGGAAAAGATACAACGTATTTGGTTTTGGGAATTGAAAAAACTTTTGCCTTCACATCTGCTTCTCAGTCACACCTCCATGTCTGTTAGACTATGGTAAAATCCTAGTTACGCCTTGTTGAAATAGATTCTTGTGAGGACAGGCCTTCTTAAGAACAGCAGAATGATCTGAGCTTTTACAAAATAGTTACATTTTTTGTCTGTCTCTCCAAGTTTGGGGGTAAAACTTTGCCCTATGGCTTCAATACTTTGATGGATCTAAGAAGAGTTATTCATTTTAAGTGTGCTTTTTACTTCCACGGATGGGGATGACAGCTTCTAAACTCCTAACTTGTCAGATCAGGCATTAGACGTCTCTGACTTCATTTTTTTGATGTTTGACACCTGACAGCTTTAAAACTTTATTCCTGCTTTCCACCCTTGTGTCCCACATCCAGATATGGAAAGGAGGAAATGCCAGGTCACCCTCATTTGGTGCTGGCAAGACATCTAATTCACATAAGCTCCTGCCTGTGTGCTTAAACTCTCACACCAGCCCATTCCCTAACCTCAACAAAATTCACTAGCCAGGCTCCTTTTCTTGCTCTTACAGGCATTTTACAACTACTTGAGTACTTGCCCTGCTTTCTCTGAGATCTCAAGGGTGTGAGTAATAAACTTTCTCATGAGTATAGGGATTTTGTAAAGGTCTAAGTTGCTGTGCTTTATCATGCCTGTTTTCTAACTTCTCAATAACTTCTAGAACCATGAAATGTGACAAAGAGAAAAAGAGAAAACTGAACTTGTGATAATTTTTACACAAATTAATACTCTGCAAAGGTATATATTAATTCAACCAGCTGAATGTGCATATTTCTAATGGCCTGGTGTCCTTCAGGACAACATGGCCAGTGGCTTCTTGTTACACTTTGGCTTTCCACAGACTCTTCGTGGTCTCTGATGTTTTTTTGATGGGATTAGAAGAATATCTTACATTTCTTATGGGTGTATTCATTTACTAAAACCTCATACAGATTTGACCCCATGTATCATGAAATGACACAGAGCTATGTGGTATGTTACAAGGTGGGAAACGATAGAGGTTTTTCTCACACAGAATTGATGGTCTTAAAATTTATTTCATTTGTATAGTCTCCCTCTTTCCCTTTCATTTCTCTAAGGTGGTTTTGAGTCTGCCATTAGAGAATAATGAGGCTTCCAGTGATCAGTTAAAATATAGAAGTAATTTCTGTGTGTTTATGATAGTGTTGCATTTATCAGGAAGTGATTGTGGATACAGTTCTGAGAACCAAGCCATACACTAAATGTTTATAGATCACAGAATTGTATGTGAACTTCTTATGAATTGTGTATAGATCCTTAGTGCTGCCAGTCTCACCCATCTTCGTGTACACATGGGATGTTTTAGGACTCAGTCTCCTTTGAGGATGTGGCTGTGAACTTTACCCAGGAGGAGTGGACTTTGCTGGATTCTTCACAGAAAACACTCTACAGAGATGTAATGTGCGAAACCTTCAATAACCTCGCCTGTATAGGTAAGGATAACAACATTTCTCTGCTTAGTTAAGTAGAACATAAGTGTTGCTTGCCATTAACTGTGTTTCAAGATTTGAAATTTGGAAGGAGAATACTTTGGTGGATAATCCATACTGGGTCACAATTAACCGTGGACCTAGAATGTTATAATTTTCTATATTTTATAATAAGTTTTCTGGGTCTGCATTTTAGGGAAAAAATGGAATGACCAGGACATTGAAGATGACCACAAAAACCAGAGGAGAAATCTAAGGTGAGTTGTATTCACCAGAGTACTTATGTGGCCCATGAGACAATCTTAGTATTGCATGAAATTATAAAAATAAGCAAATGGGCTGGACACTGTGGCTCATGTCTGTAATCCCAGGACTTTGGGAGGTGAAGGCTGGAGGACCCTTTGAGGCTAGGAGTTTGAGACCAGCCTGGGTAACACAGCAAGACCCTGTCTTTACGAAGGGAAAAAAAATTAGCTAGGTGTGGTGGTGGGAGGTGGAAGTGGGAGGATCAGTTGGACCTAGGAGTTGGAGATTGCAGTGATTGTGTTAGTATACTCTGGCCAGGACAACTGAGTAAGACCTTGTTTCTTAACAGCAACAAAAACAAGCAAAATAATAAGCACACCTTCAAATTTATTCATTCTTAGAAAATTTTCTCCAAAAATGTTTCATGAAAAATGTTTAGGGTATAAAAATAAATCACTTAGAATAGTAATAATAATTACAAATTATTATTATTAGAATAGTAATAATAATAGAATAATCACTTAGAATAATAAATAATTAGAATAATAATTCTAATTATAAAATTGTTAGTAAAAAAGCCACTAATAATGTGTCACTCATTTTTTTACAGAGGTCACATGGTTGCAAGACTTTGTAAAAGTAAAGAAGGTCATCAATATGGAAAAAGCACTAGCCAGATTCCAAATCTTATTATTATCAAGGAAACTTCTACTAAAGTAAAACCATGTGAATGCAGCATGTGTGGGAAGCTCTTCATGCATCATTCATTGCTTAATGAGCACATGAAATCTCACACTGAAAAGAAAACAAATGAATATCAGGAACAGGAACATGGAGAAAAGCCATATAAATGTAAAGAATGTGGGAAAACCTTCACTCGTTACCACAGCATTCGAATCCATGAAAGAATTCACACTGGAGAGAAACCGTATGAATGTAAGGAATGTGGGAAAGCATTCAGATTTCTCTTTTCCTTTAGAAGCCATGAAAGAATTCATACTGGAGAGACACCTTATGAATGTAAGGAATGTGGGAAAGCTTTCAAGTTTCTCAGTTCCTTACGAGATCACGAAAGAAATCACACTGGAGATAAACCCTACAAATGTAAACAATGTGGAAAAGCATTTAATCATATCCAGCCTTTTCAAAGACATGAAAGAACTCACACTGGGGAGAAACCTTATGAATGTAAGCAATGTGGTAAAGCTTTCAGCTGTCCTATGTACTTACGAAGTCACGAAAGAACTCATAGTGGAGAGAAACCCTATGAATGTAAAGAATGTGGGAAAGCCTTCTTTTTTCACTCAAACCATCGGAGACACATGATAACGCATACCAGAGTTCATCCTTATAAACTTAAGGAATGTGGGAAAGTCTTCAAGTCTGATAATTCCTATGCAGTGCAAGAAAGAACTCATCTTGGAGACAAACCCTATGAATGTAAACAATGTGGTAAAACCTTCATTTGTTCAAGTTACTTTCAAATACATGAAAGAACTCATACTGGAGAGAAAACTTATGAATGTAAACAGTGTGGTAAAGCCTTCCTTTATTCCAATCACTTTCGCATGCATGAAAGAACTCATGCTGGAGAGAAACCCTATGAATGTAAACAATGTGGTAAAACCTTCATTTTTTTCAGTCACCTTCAAAGGCATGAAAGAACTCACACTGGAGAGAAACCCTTTGAATGTAAGGAATGTGGTAAATACTTTACTTGTGCAAGTTCTGTTCAAGTACACAAAAGAATTCACACTGGAGAGAAACCCTATGAATGTAAGGAATGTGGTAAAGCCTTCAGTTTTTCCAGATCCCTTCAGGTTCATAAAAGATCTCACACTAGAGAGAAACCCTATCAATGTAAAGAATGTGGTAAAGCCTTCAGTTATTCAAGGTCTTTTCAGTTACATGAAAGCACTCATACTAGAGAGAAACCCTAAGAATGTAAGCAATGTTGGTAGGTTGTCAGTTGTTCTAGTTCCTATTAAATGTATGAGAGAACTCACACCAGAGAGAAATTATATGAATGTAAACAATGCGATTAAGCCTTCAGTTGTCCTAATTCACTTCAAAGATGTGACTTATGTTGCAGTAAAGTCTTTTTAAAATGTGGGAAAACCTTCCATTCTCCTAGGCTTGTAAATATATGAAAGGACTCTGGAGAGAAACCCTATGAATGTTAAGGAATGTGGGAAAGCCTTCAATTCACACAGTCTTTTGAGGACACATGAGAATGTATGCTGGAGACAACCTCTGTAAACAATGTGGGTAATTATTCTTCCCATTTCATTGTGAAACCACAAAACCACTCATACTGGAGAGCAACTTCTTTAGTGTAATTGATATGGAAAGTCCTTCAATTATGTGTATAATATTTCTTCCACCTAGGGAGCCTGCTTAGGAAGAATTGAAGGACTTGGGCCCTAACAGGCCTTTCTTAGAACCTAGTCTGTAGTTAGGAAACAACTTCTAGCATGGTACCTGCTCTCAGCTCACACACATGGCTAGAAAGAAGTGATAGGGCTCCCAGAATCAGTATTTAAACCAGTTGCTTCTGGTCAGATCTGTGGGAATGCTGTGGTTCTGAAACAATTGCATCCCATAGTTTTCCCGAAGTGGGATCTGGGTGGAGACTTCTTAATTTATGGGCGTCAACAAGGCCGTTTCCAGCCTTCATTTTCCCATTTCAAGCCTACGCTGTGTATGCTTACTGGAAACATGTTTAAAAATTCAGTCTTGCCTCACACTGGAACCTTTCTCTGTGGCAACCTCAGATGGTTCTCAGGTGAGAGGGCTGAAGAAGCAATGGCTGAACACATGCCACAGGACACATACCCCTGGGCCACACAATATTCACTCTCCCATAATCACTAGCTCTGCGCCAGCCACCACAGAATAGTCTCAAAACCACTAATGATGTTGCAAAGACCCACCTTGCTATGTCTTAGCTGTAGAACACACTCAAAGTTCTTGGTTGCCCTAACTTGCCTACTCCAAACTTTCTGGCTCGTTCTACTCTGAGATGTTCAGTGGTGTATGCACTGACTGTGCTTTAGCCCTTCTCACCTCAATGCATGCTGAATGTGTACTGCTTGAGGGCTAGTTTTATATCCTCCCCACCAAAACCAGCATCTACTTTTGGGAACAGTACCCACCCTGCAGAGCTGCTGTGGTGCTCTGCTCCTGTGTGTGCAGCAGCCCTGTGGTGCATGGAAAATGCTAGTGTCAGTTATGCTTCATAGTCCAAGAGGTGACTCTTCACATCATCCCTGTCAGGCCAGGTAAGCTCCCAATCAACTGCCTTCTGGAGCCACTGATGATTTCTCTCTTGTGAATTGAGTAGGGGTAGTAGGTGTTGGGCCCTTCGTTTGTCAGAGGCAGTGCCCCCTGTTTCTTGCAGAACAAATCAGAGTGTCCTGGAAGGGAAGTGGCAATATGAAGGGAAAGAGGTCACTATCAGCCCTTGTGACAACCTCCATTCTTTCTCTGGGCCTTGAAAGTGATCTTTCTCTTACCTGGAGACCTATAGTCTGAGCTCTCTAGGCCTACACCCTCCCCCAACAGTAGGTATGGGTCAAGTGGCAGCATCCAAGGCCTCCGGGAATACCGTAGGGCCCCATGAGGGTAATTGGAGCAAGGTTTGCCAGCGGATGTGGCTTCTGGAGGTGATGGCTACCGATAAGTGTGCAATGGCGGGCATGTCTGATGAGCCGTGAGCAGCCCTTGCTGCTCTCACTGAGGTCTCAGTGGAAAAGCAAACTGAGTAAGGATCGGATCATGTGGGATATATTTCTGGAAACATTTAGAACATTTTGAGGGGCTGGGACGTTATTACTCAACCTATTGCAGGCCCACCTTTTTGTATTCTTGGGGTCCCATTTTGTGCTCTTATAGAGGTAATATTTTTGTACTCTGCTCCAGAAGTATGAAATCCCCTTACCATTAGAATGGGCTCAAGGAGCCACCTTTGTGATTGGTTTGGGGGCCAAGGAGTACCTCTCTGGTACATGGGATGGCTGTGAGAACAGTTCAGTCTTTGAAGATCTGATATGTTTTGGTCTATGATGAGGATTGCATAAAACCCATTTATGTGTGGATCTGAACCCATTTATGTGTGTGTCTGAGTCCTGATACTCAGTAAATACTAGTCTCTTGTATGTGACAGGTTCTCTAATTGATTTGGAGAACAAAGATGTGCTAACATCTCTGTCCCTTGGTACTTACATTCCAGCACACAAGAAAAGGAGCAAAAATATACAATGTATCATTCCTAAGGAGCCAGAGAAGCACAGAGATGAGATCAGAACAGCCAGGGTCTGTGTGTCTTTGGGATCATCTTTCAGTGTCCGGGCTGTTTAGTCCGTGGGATTGTGAGTTTATGTGCCTGTGTCTGGGTTTGTTCATCTGAGTATAGTGACAAAATGTTTATAATTTTTGTTTGTCTATGGGATTTTGTGTATATGTGTTAATCTGGAATGCTTTTATTGTCTGATTTTCCTGGGACCAGCTTTCTTAACACTTTGAGTAGAACTGGTGAGAGAAGATATCCTTGTTTTGTCTTTTATCTTAGATATTAAAAATCTGTTTTTTCACCATCAAGAATGATGATGTGGGTTTTTCATATATGGCTTATAGCAATTTGAGGAAGTTCTATTCCAAGTTTATTGTGGGTTTTTATAGTGAATGGGTGTTGGATTTTGTCAAATGCTTTTTTGCATCCATTGGGATGATTGCTATTTTCCTATTGTGTTTTGCTAATGTGTATTATCACATGACTCAATTTCCATATCTTGAACCATCTTTTTATTCCAGGCGTAAATCTCACTTTGTTATGTTGCATAATGCTTTCGTTGTGTTGCCCACTATGGCTTGCTGCTACTTATTTGAATATTTTTGCATCAATATTCATAAGGGATATGAATGGTAATTGTTTTGCTCTCTCATGCCATTTCATGCCTGCTTTAGAGGATTTCCCTGCTCTCCCTGTGACCTCAATTATATGAGTAATAAGCCTTTCATACTCTCTCAGTTTGTGTGTGTCACATACTCACCCGTGTCAGCATTAGAACGACAGCTTTTCAGGTGACCATAACAGTTGGCACCTTTAGCAGGATATCTAGTGATCACCACCCTCTGGGTCTGTCTTTTGTTTTGTCATTAACCTCCCCTGTGGCCTGATGGCTGGCATGCACCTTCAGCTGCTGCTTGCTGCTCTGTGTTGTAGAGGCCTACCAAGCCCCAATTCTTAATTTAGATGACCAGAGTAGGCACTTTCCAGAAGTCCTTAGCACTGAGGAGCAGGAATGTGGAATTTGGGTCCTCCTTAAAGTGGTCTTGAGTCAGGCATTTTCACCTAGACCTGTCTGTGTTTTAGAATGAAGCTGTAGCTGATGGTGGGCTTTGGCCTTGACCTATAGGTCTAGGCTAGGGGTTGTTGGTGAGACTGTATCCCATGCATGTTGGGTGGTCATTCCTAAAAGAGCAGTCACTCTTAAAATTACCAGGACAATTACCAATCACACTCACCAGGACACTTATGTGCCTTGCTGCTGCTGCCGCTGCTGCCCCCTGCCTCTGGCTGAACAAAGACCCCGAGTGTAGCTTATCAGGGACAAAACCCATGGCATCCCTGGCGTTGAGCATAGGTGTTAGTTCAAACCTGAACCAAGCTTGATGTCCTTAAACTGTGAAGCTTCTATTGCCATACAGGAGGCCCTGCTATGGTTTGGATGTGGTCTGTCTCCACCAAAACTGCTGTTGAAATTTGATCCCCAATGTGTTGGTTTTAGGCCCAGTGGGAGGAGTTTGTGTGATGGGGCAGATCCCTCAGGAAAGACTTTGTTCTGTTCTCACAGTGGTAAGTAAGTTCTTGTTCTGGTAACACATGACTACTTCTCTCAGGAACAGATTGGTTCCCACTAGTGGGTTTTGAAGCAGAGTTCCTCCTCTTGTTTGGTCCCTCTTTGCATGTGCCTGCTGAGACCCTCCACCCTCTTTTGATGCAGCACCAAAGTCCTCACCAGAAAGCAACAAAAAGCTGGTGCCCTGCTTCTTGTACAGCCTGCAGAACTGTGAGCCAAATAAACTTCTTTTTAAAACTACCCAGTCTCAGGTATTCCTTTATAGCCACACTAAAGGGATTCAAGCAGCCCATAACCCTGATAATATTCTTTTGAGAATCTCTGGCGGAAAAAAATAACAATTATTACATTATGGAGGACCTTCTCCCTGAAGTTTCATCAGTGATGGAAAACAAAAAATAGAGTGGGAGGGAGGGAAGACACAAAGCTGAAACAAAGGTTCGTAATTTGAACCAATTGGAAATTGAATACTAAAAGTACTTGACAAAATTGGACACCTTTACTTCATAATAAGCACTTAACTTGGAATAGAAACTTTCTGAACATAATAAGGCAAGGGTGCCCGCTCTTACCACTTATGTTCAAGATAGCATTACAAGTTGTAGCCAGAGAAATAAAAATAAAAGTCATCCAGATCGGGCGTGGTGGCTCACACCTATAATCCTAGCACTCTGGGAGGCTGAGGCGGGTGGATTGCTCGAGATCAGGAGTTCAAAACTAGCCTGAGCAAGAGAGACCCCCGTCTCTACTAAAAATAGAAAGATATTAATTGGCCAACTAAAAATATACAGAAAAAATTAGCTGGGCATGGTGGCACATGCCTGTAGTCCCAGCTACTCAGGAGGCTGAGGCAGGAGGATCACTTGAGCCCAGGAATTTGAGGTTGCTGTGAGCTAGGCTGATGCTACCGCACTCTAGCCAGGGCAACAGAGTGAGACTCTGTCTCAAAAAAAAAAAAAAAAAAGTCATCCATATTGGACAGGAAAAAATAAAATTACGGTTTTGCAGATGATGAAATTCCTATGTAGAAATCCCTACTGATTCTCTTAGGAAAAAAAAAAATACTACACTAGGGAAGGTGTACTTTGCCCGTAATCCTAGCACATTGGGAGGCAGGAGCAGGAGGATCCCTTGAGGTCAGGAGTTCGATTAGCTGGGCATGGTGGTGCGTACCTGCAGTTGCAGCTACTTGGGAAACTGAGGCAGGAGGATCACTCAACCTCAGGAGTTTGAGGCTGCAGTGAGCTATGATACCACTATACTCTAGCCAGGGTGACAGAGCAAGATCCTGTCTCAAAGAAAAAAAGTCCGCTATTTACCCCAGATGAAACAAAAAATAAAAATGGTTGAGCATGGTGGCTTATGCCTGTAATGCCATTTCTTTGGGAGGCCAAGGCAGAAGGGTTGCTTGAACCCAGGAGTTTGTGGCTTCAGTGAGCCCAGATGATGCCACTGACCTCCAGCCTGGGCAACAGCAAGACATCATCTCTTAAAAAATAAAAAAATAATAAAAGTAAGGGCAAGGGCAAGCAACACAGGATGTGTCACTTAGAAAGCTCTGTGACCTAGAGCAAATGACTTAAGGCAGGTGTCCTCAAACTACAGCCCGTGGGCCACATGCGGCCTGCCAAGGACATTTATCTGGCCTTTCGCCGGGTGTTTTTGCTGCCGCTGCCTGTCCTGCTTAGCAGCTGACTTGTCCCAGGTGCACAGTGCGCATGTGTGGAATGTGCGCTGCACTCTCCAATGGCCCTCTAACGGTCTGAGGGACAGTGAACTGGCCCTCTGTTTAAAAAGTTTGAGGACCCCTGACTTAAGCTTTATGGGCCTCAGTGTCTCATCTCTAAAATGGGAATAAGAAGGGTACCTATCTGTCATCTCCTGAGTTGTTGTGGGCATTATCCACGTTATTTTACATAAAATACCAAGGAATGCCTGGCACCTAGGATGTGCCTTTAAAACATTTTTTATTAATATTTGACCCGGTTGTAACAGTCAAAGGAATTAAACAGTCTGTTGCCTGGGCTACAGTGCAGTGGTGTCAGCCTAGTTCACAGCCGCTTCAAACTCCTAGGCTCAAGCAAAGCGATCTTCTTGCCTCAGTTTCCAAGTAGCTGGTATTACAGGTGCACACCACCGTGCCTGGCTAATTTTTCTATTTTTTAGTAGAGATGTGTGGCTCACGCCTGTAGTCCCAAGTACTCAGGAAGCTGAAGCAGGAGGATCCCTTCAGCCCAGGAGTCTGAGGCTGCAGTGAGCTATGATGACGCTACTACACTCCAGCCTGGTCAGCAGAGCAACGCCCCGTCTCTAAACAAAAACTGAGGATCCACTTTTCTAGATGTATAAGAAATATAATCTCCGTAATTGTATCTAGAGGCTTAAGGGAAACTGTGTTTTAAAACCTAATTTGACGCCCACACTCGGCGGAGGCTGAGCAGGAGGACGGCTGACCAGGAGTTGGAGGGTTCTG